GAGCTGATTACGAATATGATATATTTTTGAGCACAAAGTCGGACTATTCTAACCGAAAACCGTCAAGAACAGGTCAAAAAAACTAAAAATCAGGAGGTTCAAACCAGTAGCCTTAAGATTTGCCATACGAGCCCACATTTTTAAATCCTAAAAAATAGCTGGTTTTGTAGCGCTTTAAAAGCTCTATCGAACAGGGAGTGAACGAAGTTTGGACACAGTTTCATTAATACAATAATCGAATGACAAATGTTATATGCATACATAGTATAAGGTCAAAATGCTGTAAGGAAAGTTATGCATTCAATCTCTTAAAACCAAAAAGGTTGTTTCAAATCAGCGATTCTATTATCAAATTGTATCCTAGACAACGGCCTATCAGAATAACTTGTAAACAGAATCCAACTCTATTCGTTTTGTTTCAAACGATCAGTCAGACTGTTGACAAGTATTAATGGTGAAACGCCCATTTCGCATGTAGTAAAGCTATATTCGGTTTACACTTATAACCCATTCAAAATACCTCAGATTTGGCATCAAAATGATCGTGAGTTCATGCTCTTTCATTCTATATGTGATTTAATTAGGTTTAGTCGTAATAATCAAAGGGGCCAAAACGCTGTCTTATGCGTCTCCGTCCTTTATAAATATGATTTTCGATTAATTCTAATAGTTTGTTTTTAATTTTTGGAATTCGACTAACTAATTAGTTCATAAAGATATCTCAAATTTACATTTATTAAAAAAGACACAGTTATTTATTGTTAATAAGAAAAAAAAACATAATCATCATCTTGACTATTCCTATTTGATATGATTAATTTCATTTTGTCCATAATAGTATTTAGGATGTGGGTGTGATTGGTTTGTCGATGTGCTTAGATACGAAAGGAATACTTACTTACACATACTAACACCCAAACCACAAACTCACATCCTCTCGAAACCGCCGGAAACCTTACAGCAATCATTAATTGAATTAATAAACATCATTCATGTTCTTTGCTTTTCTTCTTTGAATATGTAATTTTGATATGACAGAATCATTACATCAATGGTATGTGGGTACGAATTCAATATGTTAGTATTCCGAAACTTTCGCAGTACATTTTTCAATACATTCGTACCAGAGATGGACGAGTCGCGGTGCCACACCGCCCCGCCCCGCATCGATGCGGGGCGGGGCTGAAATTTCCAGTAGCGGGGCGGTGGCGGTGCACCGCCCGATTTCACGGTTTTCCAGTCTCTCGGCACAACGTATTTTTTTCACATTACAATCCAATCAACAGAGACATCCCTAAATATCTTTCATGAATGTTTACGATTTATTATTGGACGAAAGGTATATTCAATAGAATGAATATTTGAGAACTATAACAAAATATACAAATATTTATGTATATATGCAAATTTTAATTGCTATTATTTGTATTTATCTAAAAATATTTGCAAAATGTTTATGTTACATAAAAATTTGTTTCGTTTAAATATAGCTGATACATATTTTTTTTTAAATACTATGTCCACAACACAGTCTTGCTCATCTTCAATTCAAGTAGAAGATGATACACAAAATATTTTATTAGATGTTCATAATAATAATAAGAATAATTCATTAGCCGACGATGTGATGGCATGCAAAAAAATTTATTCTTTGCTCAAAAGCAAAAAGAAAAATTTAACAATTGTCGATTGTTCTAAAAGTCGTATTGCCAATTGTTGGAAACGATTTGGGTTTCCTTCTGCTATTAATCAAAATGGTGTTGTAGTTAAGATATTCGATAAATTCGTTTCGTGTCGAATTTGTTTCATGACATATTCATTTAATTCGAATAGTACAAGTCAAATGAACAAACAAAATTGTGATAATCAATCTTCATCCTTAGCTTCATGTTCATCTACACTTTCATGTTACTATCTATATTTATATAATTTATGACTTTTTATATCATGAAATAAAATAGTAACTATGAAAAGTGACTGTAAAAAGATACTTCCTTTAAAAAATATTTTAAAGGCGAGGCGGGGCATAGCAAGACGGGTGTGGGGCGGGGACAGGATCCACATTAAGTTAATAGGCGGTGGCGGGGCGACTTTTTAACTGCCCCGTCCATCTCTGATTCGTACGTTAAATGCACTGTTTTGTTCAGTATTGAGTTCTATATTTTCATTCACATTTATTAACCTTGTATTATTCACCTTCTCTTGATTTCTGCTTCTTTCTATTCATATAAATTTCGTTGTTGATGATTGATAATTGTTTTATATGACTATTTAGGGATCTTATGATTACCCATATATCTAAGTGCGTAATTCTTAAGTTCTTATCTTGAATTGTTTGAATAGAAAGTATTTACTACTATTGATATTTTTTCATTTCTTTTTCAAACATTGCATTGATCATACAAAAAAAAACGAAATATGTCGCACCATCATCATCAACAACAACAACAACAATTCGATAATATTGATATTTCAATACGTTCATCTTATGAACGATTTCTTGAATTTGAACGTTTAATGAAGATGTATCCACCATCTTTATCTCAAAATTTTAATCCAACACCACTTGGTTTATGTGCTTTTGCATTAACAACATTTGTACTTTCAATGTATAATGCAGGTGTAGCTGTACCTGTTACAGCTTCACATGGTGTTGTTATGGGTCTTGCTCTTTTTTATGGTGGTTTAATTCAACTTCTTGCTGGTTTACTTGAATTTCGTGTTGGGAATAATTTTGGTGCACTTGCATTTTGTTCTTATGGTGGTTTTTGGCTTGGACTTGCTTCACTTTATGTTGGATCATTTAATTTTCTTGGAAACTATTCATTAGATGTACAAGAAAAAGCTCTTGGTGTTTTTTTTCTTGGATGGACAATATTTACAGCTGCTATGTTTATTTCATCGTTTCGTACTAATTTAGCTTTAGTAGCATTATTCTTTTTTCTAACACTTACTTTCATTTTACTTACAGCAAGTAAATTTCAATTAGGTCATCTTAATTTACAACGTGCAGCAGGTGCTTTTGGAATTTTAACAGCATCAATTGCTTGGTATGCAGCTTTTGCAAGTTTACTCAAACGAGGTGTGAATTCATATTTTTCATTGCCTGTTTATAATTTAGCACCCCCCTCACCATTAATCATTACTAATGAATCTTCAACAAATATTCGTACACAAAAAATATAAAAAAATTAAAACATAAGAATAATTATTATTGTAAATATAAACTTTTCGAGTATTTCTTACTAAAAAAAATCGATTTTTTTTCAATTATACGAGCAGTATATATTTATATTTTTATGAGCTAATTATTTCGAATAAATATGTTCAATACTAATGATAAAGAAAAAGAAAAATCATACAAAGTTGAACAAAAAAAAATGTATATATACAAGCAAAAGAAAGTGTTCTATCGATTTTCAAATCTTATTAATAATCATTTTAATCATAAATTAATTCGTCACTACAAGCTACATAAAGAAATTCATCTTCATCTGTCTAAAATAATATCAGATATTTATATTTAAATAAAAATAAATAAACTAACATGTTCTTGATTAAGAGCAACCTATAGTCATTTATATGTTCTGAATAATCTAATTAGAAATTAAATAAAATTCTATTTCTATCAAATAAATTCATACATTATTAACAAGGAAAAAAAAGTGCATCTTCTCGTCGAAGTTGAATAGGTTTACGAATGAGAAGATAGAATTGGCCAATTGACATATTAATTATAAATAACAAACTAGAGAAAAAAAAGATCAATTACTGTAAGAAGATTAGGTACTTAATATTTCTTTGATGGAAGATTTGGAATATATGAATTCGATGCCCGTTCAACAAAAACTGCATATCGATCAAGATATTCACACAAATACGTTCGCCCAAAAATTAAAACGATTTCATTAAATTTTGTTTATTTGTTTGTTTTTTCATACCTTCATCGTGACGACTTTCATAAGGATTATTAATTTTAAATTCCCCAACGCATATTATTTTTATCTAAAAATTCAATAATAAATAAATTCTAAAGAGAAATATTTGATATTATAATAGAAACAAGTGTGCCTGATATCGATTGATACCGATTATCATTTTCAGATAGAATTTTTTGTAAAGTATTTTTTTTCTATACCTTCGAAAAGAATAAGTTCATTTCAAGCACATATTAATGAACAAGAAAGAGATGAACATGATGGACTACTAAATACAGATATACATTTTGTTGGTAACCATGTTACAAATGGATTTAATGAAAATATATTTGATATATCAAGTCGATACATTTGAAAACTACTTGATATATCCATCATATTATATTTATTAGGTTTAAACAGTAATATTGCTCGTTTATATGTTATTGAATAACGTGTTGTTTCATCACTTTCATCACTTGAACTACTTGGAAGATGTGATGGAGCAACAAATAATTGTTCAGGAGATTTTTTTTTATCACAAGGAGGAAAAATCATATTTAGTCGACACATTATCTAATCGAACTTTCATAACTGGTCAAATGTATGTGAAACACTGGATTCCTGCTGATGACATTCAACAACTCTAAAAGAGATTCATCGAATGTGCAATGACGTTGCACCAGCATCACATAGCTTAAGGGCACCCTCCCCTTTCTCGATCCCAAAAATTCACTTTTTTCGATTTTGATTTTTTTGTATCTAAAAACACACTTAAGTATCCTCTATCGAATGGCATATGAACGAAAAATTTTCATTGTTATCTAAGTCCTTACAAAAATCAACTTTGGAGATCCCTATACAAAAATAATTACATTCTGCAGCGCTTTCTTCTAATAAATGAGCAATACTATTATAGTTATTTCATCATCGAAATGTGTTGTATGGATCAGAGATGCATTATCCTAGTCATGTTGCAAGTGCATTAATTGATAGCTACGTATGATAAAATGAAAAACACAAAATTTGGAAAAATGTCGTATTACATTGTTTCGTGTTTTTCTCGAAATCAATTTTTTTAGAGACAAATTGAAGTTTTCCCTTCTTTTTGTCCTAGACGCTTCGAACAATTCAGCTGAACTTTTTTGTGTAACAACTAGGATCAAATCGGGTGTATGTGTTTTTTTTTCGTGAAATAATGTTTTGATCACTTTTAGCAGACCTTACCAAATTTGCTCTCGGCAAAAAAAAACATGTTTTTGATAGGACTTCCAGTATTTTGATTTTTCCAAGCGAAGGAAACAATATTAAGGAAAGAACTACACTCACCTTCCCAATCGTATTTTATTCAATTAATTTATTTTCAATAAATATAGATTGATTGTCTTTCACATCATTATTCTTGATAGATTTTACTAACAATGGTTTTTTTTTGTTTGATTAGATTTTATAATACTTGTTTTTTTTCCATCTTAAATTCTATTCAAGTATCTATTTATTCAATAAACTATAAATATTGATCGATTGCTTAAATATTATGGCAAGAATTCAATTCATTTATATTCTTATTTTTAATTTGATAATCATAATTGAAGAAGTTTCTTTTTTTTTCAAATGACTATTTTATCAAAGGAATTTATTTATTATAAATAAATATAATTATAATGAGAGCTTTCCTATTATCTATATATTGATCAATTAAAATCTAATGAATATGATTAAATATGCATATTATTAATAAAACGCCCGAATAAATATTTTATTTTTTTAATATAGAGAATGAAGAATATTTGAAAAGTTTTGTTTAGTAAATTTTTTTTTATTACTTATGTTGATCTTTGATAATAGAATTTAATTAAAATATAATCCTTCTATTTATGTTAATTTAATATCAAACTATATTTATATAAAGATCATCTATGAACAATAGATATACTATAATTCAATATGATTTAATAAACATAACTCGAATAGATTTTAATAAATAATTAATCGATATTGAATTAAAATCTGATGATTATTCATTATTTTATTTCGAAATTCTTATCGAATAAACGACAAAAAATTTTCAAATATTTTTCATTGAATATTTTAAGTCAATATCAATTATAATAAAATATGATTATATTGATTGAGAAAAAAATCTATCTATATCTATTTAATTTACAATTATTTGATATATAGCATAAGCTAAATAGTGTTGATATATGTCTATTTATATCAAATTAGTCGAAGTTTATTTATTAATCTCATTTGGATAAAATTCAGAATGAAAAATAATTCGGTAGCATTTTTTGTCTTTACGATTAATTTATTTCTTAAAAAATTCGATGACAATATTGATCAATAGAAATCAAATTCACATTTTTTTATCTGTTTCTCGAGAGATTTGATTTTAATATGACACTATCATTTATATGTTTATATTATATATCTATTCAAACAATCAGTTAAATCAACTAATACTACTATTTGAAAACTAAGAAAACGAACATATATTACATTTCGAATGATTAAAATAAGAATTTTCATTGTTTAAAATTTATTGAAATCAATCTATGTATGATAAGTCGAATCAATAAATGATAAATTGCCATTTTCTATAATATTCATCTTACTAGAGTTGAATTTTTCCTCGAATAAGTTCAATGACGATATGAGTATGGATGTGTGAAAACAAGCGATCAATACCCGCATATCTGAACCCACCAAACACTCACAGCCTCGTTTCATACGTATGTTTTAATAGCTGAAATTTTAGTGCCCTTTTTAAACTGCAACTCGATTAAAAGATATAGAGCGAGTATCAAAATTTATTCAGAAGTAGAATAATCTTTGTTCATAAGTTTTTATTTAGACATGAATATAAACTACATTGATCTGCCTTAATCCACCTGATAACCCATCGTATCCATTATATCGATACAAAGTTTCAAATCTAATTGTCTTTCTCTTGTTCGGCTATTGAAGAAGCGATCGCCATATATATATTTTGACCTTTCCAAAATTGACCAACAACTAGTTTTATGATTATCTATGGGATTATTCTAAATTTAAATTTTCTTTTATGAAAGACAATAAGACAGTACAAATTCGTCTCAACAATCTAGACTAATTCTTATTATAGTTATAATTTTTTTAAAGGTAGTCAGCATGGATATTTTCAGATGTATATCAATGATCTACTTCGAAAAAAACTGATCAACACACTTGTTTTCCTTTGTGTTTCAATTAATTATTTATATATATGAAACCATTAGAGGGAGAGCGTACAAAATTACAGTGAAAATAATTTTATTTATTATTCATAACGTAGAAAAAAAGACGGTAGTGACTTCTTAAAGATATGGAAATTATATGACTTTTTTACATAGTTTATTATGCTCCCTTATCTTCACAAGTAGTTTTATGGTAATACTGTTTGGAAACGCTCAAGATTTGTCGAGAGTTCTTTTCTCCACAAAGTGGTTGCGTTTAAAATCGAAAAAGTAGACTTCTTAAAACGGTTATAATGACAATGTTTAGTTCAAAAACTTAGAAACAGAATCTACGAAATGTCAATGGAAAGAGTGTACATTTAATCTTTCGAAGAAGACACATGAAATCTCTTCATATAATGTTTCATTTGATACTAGATGAAAATCTGTGAGAGAAAGCAAAAAGAAAAACTTCAATAAACAAGATGTTTTAATATAAAATACTACTTTTCATGAAGTCTTTTTGTCTTCTCAAACATCATTTTTCTAGTTTTTAGAACTAAATGCTGGCATCATCTCCATGTTAAAAATCTATTTTTTCGATGTTAAATACTACCAATTGGGGGAAAAAAAGAATTCTCTACAAATCTCGAGTGTTTGCAAACAATGTAACCATGAAAATAATTGTGTAGATAACAGGATATATTAAATTTTGTACAAAAGTTCTATAATTATTATATCTTTAAGAAGTCATTACCTTCATCTTCTATGATATAAATAATAAATAAAACCATTTTAAACACAGCTTCATTCTCTCTCTCTTTCTCTCTCTCTCAATGTATCATACATGTGAATAATCGATTACGAAATAAAGTAAAACATGCGAGTTTATCAATTTTTCTCAGTAGATCATCGGCAAGTCCCAGAAAGTATATATATTAACTATTTTGAAAAGAGATGATATAATAGGAATTAAATAATCATACAAAGTAGTTGTTGATCAATTTTGCTAAGGTCAAAGTCGATATTCTGCGATTGCTTCTTCAATAGTCTAAAAGAGAAAGACAATGTGATTTTGAACTTTGTATCGATATACTAAAATATATGAACCATTCTACGGACTAACCGAGATCAATATAGTTTATAAGACTGTTAAGATAAGACTTACGAATAAAGATCATCTTACTTGCTTGATCAATTTTGGTACTCACTGTAGTTGGAATTCTTTTAATATTTTTTTTTTATCCTAGACACATATGAATTATTTTTTATTTCGGCTCATTTAGAAATATATGTGCATTTGTTTGTTTTACTTCGATGTAAAGATTTATTCAAAGTCTTTTAATATCATTGATATATACCCCTGGCAAAAATAAGTTTCCCTCTGTATTTTGAGGATATTGTTCCCAAAAGAACATATTTTTTAAAAAGTAACGACATATTCGGGAAGCCCGTGAAATTTTACATCTTTCTGTATTTTTATATTTTTGTTCGGACGGCTGTATAAAAAAATTCTTCCAATGAAGTGAACACACCTTTAGTACCCCATTTC